ATCTATGGATGAGACAAAAGACTATCTATGGATGAGACAACAGACTATCTATGGATGAGACAACAGACTATCTATGGATGAGACAAAAGACCATCTATGGATGAGACAACAGGCCATCTATGGATGAGACAACAGACTATCTATGGATGAGACAACAGACCATCTCTGGATGAGACAACAGGCCATCTATGGATGAGACAACAGACTATCTATGGATGAGACAACAGGCCATCTGGATGAGACAACAGACCATCTATGGATGAGACAACAGGCCATCTGGATGAGACAACAGACCATCTATGGATGAGACAACAGGCCATCTGGATGAGACAACAGGCCATCTATGGATGAGACAACAGACCATCAGCTGAGCATAGGGAAAACTTAAGATTGCTGCAGAGACAAAGGGATGTTCCCAAATGGCACCCTATCCCCTATATAGTGCACTACTTTTGACCAGAGCCCTATGCACTACAAATGAAATAGGGTGCTATTTGGGACGCAGTTAACCTCTACCACCCATAGCAATGTTTCACAATTCGGGTCCTGGGGACACAAAGGCTGTCCTGGAGCACAGTACTACCACACCTGATTCAACCCATCAAAAGCTCTGGATCACCTGACCAACACTATCGCAGCTGAGCTGAAACAGTTTCTGTTGTGGTGAAGAATTCATTAAAGGACCTGACAGGGGCGCAACTTTCACTGGGGACACATTCTGAAATTGCATTCGGTGTCAAAGGAAGGCCAAGAATATCATCAAGGACCTCAGCCACCCGAATCACAGTCCGTTGACTCTGCTACCATCCAGCAGACAGAGACAGAACAGGTGCATCAGAGCTGGGACCGAGAGACTGAGAAACCGCTTCCATCACCAGGCCATCAGACTGTTGAACAGCCATCAATCGCCGGCTACCTGTCCGGTACTCTTGCCCCGCACCTTGAAACTAATGCCTCATGTACATAGAGTCATTGAACGCTGGTCACCTCATATTCTGTTTCTATACTGTTGTTTACTCACTGTGTATGTATATCCTGTATTCTCCACATAGCTCATCCTAATCTACCTACTACTGTACATACCATTTTCCTTCCAAATTCTATAGTCTAAACACAACACATATTTATATTCTGGATTCTGACACATGCTCACTCTAAAATACACTATATATATATATATATATATACAAATGTATGTGGACACCCCTTCAAATTAGTGGATTCAGCTATTTCAGCCACACCCATTGCTGACAGGTATATAAAATCGAGCAAACAGCCATGCAATCTCCATAGACAAACATTGGCAGTAGAATGGCCTTACTGAAGAGCTCAGTGACTTAACGTGGCATCGTCATAGGATGGTACCTTTCCAACAAGTCCGTTCTGAAAATTTCTGCCCTGGTCAACTGTAAGTGCTGTTATTGTGAAGTGGAAACGTCTAGGAGCAACATCAGTCGTGAGTGGTAGGCCACACAAGCTCACAGAACGGGACCGCCGAGTGCTGAATTGCGTAGCGCATAAAAATAATCTGTCCCCGGTTGTAACACTCACTACCGAGTTCCAAACTGCCTCTGGAAGCAACGTCAGCACAATAACTGTTCGTCTGGAGCTTCATGAAATGGGTTTCCTTGGCCGAGCAGCCGTACACAAGCCTAAGATCACCATGCCCAATGCCAAGCGTCGGCTGGAGTGGTGTAAAGCTCACCAACATTGGACTCTGGAGCAGTGGAAACGCGTTCTTTGGAGTGATGAATCACGCTTCACAATCTGGCAGTTCGATGGACGAATCTGGGTTTGGCGGATACCAGGAGAACGCTACCTGCTCATAATGCATAGCGCCAACTGTAAAGTTTGGTGGAGGAGGAATAATGGTCTGGGGCTGTTTTTCATGGTTGGGGCTAGGCCCCTTAGTTCCAGTGAAAGGAAATCTTAACGCTACAGCATACAATGACATTCTAGACGATTCTGTGCTTCCAACTTTTTGGCAAAAGTTTGGGGAAGGCCCTTTCCTGTTTCAGCATGTACACAAAGCGAGGTCCATACCGAAATGGTTTGTCGAGATCGGTGTGGAAGAACTTGACTGGCCTGCACAGAGCCCTGACCTCAACCCCATCGAACACCTTTGGGATGAATTGGAACGCCGACTGCGAGCCAGGCCTAATCGCCCAACATCAGTGGCCGACCTCACTAATGCTATTGTGGCTGAATGGCAGCAAGTCCCCGCCGCAATGTTCCAACATCTAGTGGAAAGCCTACCAGAAGGAGGTGATAATGCAATGGGGGAACTCCAATTAATGCCATAATTTGGAATGAATGTTCACGAGCAAGGTTCATCATACTGTCTGAGCTGTAGTGTATCTACCGTATCTGTAATTGGACTCTCTGCATTTCTGATTTCTGTTGAATTGCGTAGTCGTATAAAATATATCTGTCCCGGTTGGACCTACCACTAACGATTTCCAAACTGCACCTCTGGAATGAACGTCAGCACAATACTGTTCGTCTGGAGCTTCATGAAATTGGTTTCGCCCTTGGCCGAGCACCGTATACCAAGCCCTAAGATCACCATAGACCCATGCCAAGGTCTGACTGACTGTATAGTACAAGCCACCACATGGACTCTGGAGCATGAAAGCGTCTTGGAGTGATATGACACACTCCTTCTCACCAATCTGGCTGATCGATGGACGAACATCTGGGTTTGGCCGGAATAGGCCGAACGCTGACCTGCTTCATAATGCCAGACGCCAACTGTAAAGTTTGGTGGAGGAGGAATAATGGTCTGGGGCTTGTTTTTCATGGTTGGGGCTAGGCCCCTTAGTTCCAGTGAAAGGAAATCTTAACGCTACAGCATACAATGACATTCTAGACGATTCTGTGCTTCCAACTTTTTGGCAAAAGTTTGGGGAAGGCCCTTTCCTGTTTCAGCATGTACACAAAGCGAGGTCCATACCGAAATGGTTTGTCGAGATCGGTGTGGAAGAACTTGACTGGCCTGCACAGAGCCCTGACCTCAACCCCATCGAACACCTTTGGGATGAATTGGAACGCCGACTGCGAGCCAGGCCTAATCGCCCAACATCAGTGGCCGACCTCACTAATGCTATTGTGGCTGAATGGCAGCAAGTCCCCGCCGCAATGTTCCAACATCTAGTGGAAAGCCTTCCCAGAAGAGTGGAGGCTGTTATAGCAGCAAAGGGGGGACCAACTCCATATTAATGCCCATGAATTTGGAATGAGATGTTCGACGAGCAGGTGTCCACATACTTTGAGCCATGTAGTGTTCTTGTTTGATTATTTGTGTATTCGTGTTGTATTTGCGAGACATTCTACAGCACAGTTGGACCTACCAACATAAGCATTTCGCTGCACCTGCTATGACACCAGCAAATCTGTGTACGTGACCAATAAACTTAGTCACTTTTCAGCCCTGTTTCCACTGTATATCCTATTACCAGTCACTTCTTATGTATAAACCGACCTCAACCACTCCAGTATCCCTGCACACTGAATAAGGTACTGACCTGTATATACAACCACTCCAGTATCCCTGCACACTGAATAAGGTACTGTCCTGTATATACAACCACTCCAGTATCCCTGCACACTGAATAAGGTACTGACACTGACCTGTATAACTTGCATTGTCATGTATCTCCCGTCGTAGTCCTTGTGTGGTTTTGATTCGTTAATGTATTATTCTATTTTCTATTATAATCTATATTATGATCACTGTATTGTTGGAAAGAGCTCTCAAGGTTAGAATTTCACTGTATTGTTTTACAGCCGTTGTATCCTGTGCACGTTCAAATGAGGAGCATTTGGTTCTGTGCATTTTTCAGACAGAATTCTGGACAGGGACTTGCCCACCTTCTCAATCTCCACTAATACGACCCCGAAAGGGACCCTATTCCCTAAATAGTGTGCTACTTTTCACCAGAGCACTACGGACCCTGGTCAAACGTAGGGCACAGCACACGGAATAGGGTGGCATTTGGGACGTATCCCAAGTGAGACCCTGGCTACTATCACATGTAAAAATAAATAAATGCTACAGCACCCTCTACAGGTTGACAATGGTACTGTCTAGTGTCCCTTGTATCAGTGAGTTAAAAAAAAAAAAACATTGCGTTTAATTTGCCTCCCATTAAGAACTTACAAAAAAGATACTTAATTTGTACAAAAATAGTTTACTAAAAACAAACAGCTAATGATCAAAATTCTGAAGCAAAAGATTTTCATGTTTTGAGCTTTCCCCCCACCCCATCAATACAAGGATGATTGTGTTTTCAGATCCAACCGTAAAACTGACAGCAAATCAACAGTTTGTTTTTCTAACTGCCCTAGTGACAGACTTACTTAAGAATAAACAAAACATTCACTCAAAATATACAAAAACAGCATATTGGCCATCAGCACATATACAATACATACAAATCGGTCTTCTTCTCTCAGTGGTTTTCTGTCAAAACATACCAGCTCAAAAGGTAGGAGAAAGTTATTCACATGAACTGACTTCAAAATTAGACTTCCACTGGTTTAAACTGTGATATTCTCATAGGGTAGGTTTCCCAGACACTAGTCCTGGACTAAGAAGCCATTCTAACAGAGATCCTCCATTGAACATGCTTTCTATTCATGGGCTGGGCTTATTCTATGTTTGGGAAACCGGCCCATAATGTTTTTCTGTGTTAGTCTTAATGTCTTTGGAACGGTAGAGAAACTCGTCAGGGGCAGTCAGTACATTGCAATGTCTGCGTCTGACTCAGTGTTCCCAGTCTTCCAAGTGGTTCTCGAGGCCAGACATCTGGGTTGTGTTCAGCGAAACAAAACTCAAGTGTTTTTACTGGACAAGTTCATGTAGTTCATTCCTGTTACACTCTGTTCCAAAACGTTTTCTCCCTACTGAACAGGACCCTGGATGATAACCCCAGTCTCTCCAGCTCCACCCCCCCCCCTGGCCCTGCCTCATCACCGTTCAAATCTATCCCATCGGTTCATGAAGCGGTCCCTCCCCTCATGCCCGTCTCTGGACCAACCATTTCCCCCTCCCCTCCTCCTCCTCCTCCTCTAGGGAACCCTCTCCCCTGTTCCCCAAACCTCCCCCCATCCCTGTCACGTCCCCCAAACCCTGGCCTCTCGCCCATGAAGTGTCTCCCACCCCGGAAGTGTCTCCCGCCCTCCCAGTCGCCCTCTTCTTCCCCGGGGGGTCCCGGCTGGAAGGGATGTCTGGGGGGTCCGTGAGGAAAGTCCTCCATGGAAGGGTGGCCCATGGGCATCCTGAACCCACCTGGAGGACCCCCCCTGCGGGGGAACATGGAGTTGGGGCCCCTGGGGCCCATCATCATGGGGGGCATGTTGGGGGGGTGGAGGTGTGGGAGGAAGTGGGGCTGGATGTGTGGGGGTGGTAGTCCTGGAGGAGGCTGCATGGGCAGCATGGCCGGCCTGGGAACCAGTAACCCTGCTGGGCCTGGAGGACTCATCACGGCCCCTGGCCCTGGAGCTCCCAGCTGGCTGTCTGGAGCTTCTGAGGGGCCGGAGGGGCCACCACGCCCTCCAGCCTGGTCTTTAGACCCAGAGTCATCTTTGGTGCTCCCTGGCCCGCCCACTACAGGAGGAGGGAAACCTGCAGAGACAAACACCAAGAGCACCTCAAACAAAACCTGTTTCATACAATTGACAACAACAAATTACTTACAAAAAACTTCAAACATGTTCGTGATCATAAAGGTTGGGTCTTATTAGGTTTGGACCTCGTCAATTTCATAACAAATATGTTATAATTCTACAACGACAAATCAGAGGGGGGAAGGAGAATGTTTGTTTGTGATCCTCTAGTTGTTCATTTGGTTCAGTTCCACGTGTTACCTGGAGGAATCTGTGTGGGGTTGAAGCCAGCGGGCAGGAAGGGAGGGGGTCCACCGGGGGTGAGGGAGGGGGGAGGGCCAGGGAATCCAGGGGGACCACCCATAGACCCACCCGGCTGGACTGGAGGCACCTGGAGACGCAGAAACACAAGAATATCACTGTTAAAGACTTGAACAACTTTCTCTGTTGTCTTGGGACAATCATAGTTCTGTTAAAATTATGGAAATATGTGGAGTGCATCAAAAACATTATAAACATTACACAGTGCACCCCAGCACCCGTCAAGACAACCTGTGCATCATTGTGAATAACACACGGCCAAGGTCTACTCTTAAAATGACGCAATAACACACGGCCAAGGTCTACTCTTAAAACGACACAATAACACACGGCCAAGGTCTACTCTTAAAACGACACAATAACACACGGCCAAGGTCTACTCTTAAAACGACACAATAACACACGGCCAAGGTCTACTCTTAAAACGACGCGAAGCTGAGTACAATAATACACAGACACATATCCCACTGGACACAAACTGGTTGTTTCAACGTAAATTTGTCAACGTTGTGACGTGGAATCTACGTGGAAAATACATTGGATTTGAAAAAGTAATCAACCTGAAAATTCAACTACAGGATTATGTCATCATGGTAACCAATGAACATCTTGTATAAAATATGTACCTTTAAAACAACGTCAGATCTTCAACACTATATGCACTATCAGAAAAAACAACAGGCTGGGTAGCACCTCCTACTGGAGAATTGATATACATTTACATTTTAGTCATTTAGCAGACTTACAGTTAGTGAGTGCATACATTCTTTTTTAATTTTTCATACTGGCCCCCCATGGGAATTGAACCCACAACCTTGGCGCTGCAAACGCCATGCTCTACCAACTGAGCTACATCCCTGCCGGCCATTCCCTCCCCTACCCTGGACGACGCAGGGCCAATTGTGCGCCGCCCCATGGGTCTCCCGGTCGCGGCCGGCTACGACAGAGCCTGGATTCGAACCAGGATCTCTAGTGGCACAGCTAGCACTGCGATGCAGTGCCTTAGACCACTGCGCCACTCGGGAGATATAACTACAGCTACCATTTGGTCTCCCATCCAAGGTTTTAACCAAGCCCAGCGCTGCTTAGCTTTGATATTTGTCACTGACTACTACAAATGTGCTATGGTGAGAATTATTATTGAGGGATCTATTAACTAAATGGATTCACTGTTCCAATCGAAGTCATTCCAAAGAGTATGTTTAACAGAGAAAATGAAATGTAACCATACCTCATGATATCATCAATGATACAGTACTATTTAGGCCTATTTGAAATGTGCAAATAAAAAGCCATATCAGACTAAGCAATAAAAAGAAAATATTAAGATGGGCAGTCTGAGATGTGGCTTTTTCTTTGCAACTCTGCCTAGAAGGTCAGCATCCCGGAGTCGCCTCTTCACTGTTGACGTTGAGACTGGAGTTTTGCGGGTACTATTTAATGAAGCTGCCAGTTGAGGACCTGTGAGGTGCCTGTTTCTCAAACTAGACACTAATGTATTTGTAATCGTGCGCAGTTGTGCACCGGGGCCTCCCACTCACTCCTCTTTCTATTCTGGTTAGAGTCCGTTTGCAATGTTCTGTGAAGGGAGTAGTACACAGCGTTGTACGAGATCTTCAGTTTCTTGGCAATTTCTCGCATGGAATAGCCTTCATTTCTCAGAACAAGAATAGACTGACAAGTTTCAGAAGAAACGTATTTGTTTCTGGCCATTTTGAGCCTGTAATCGAATCCACAATTGCTGATGCTCCAGATACTCAACTAGTCTCAAGAAGGCCAGTTTTATTGCATATTTAATCAGCACAACAGTTTTCAGCTGTGCTAACATAATTGCAAAATGGTTTTCTAATGATCAATTAGCCTTTTAAAATGATAAACTTGGATTAGCAAACACAGCGTGCCATTGGAACACAGGACTGATGGTTGCTGATAATGGGCCTCTGTACGCCTATGTAGATATTCCATTAAAAATCTGCCGTTTCCAGCTACAATAGCCATTTACAACATTAACAATGTCTACACTGTATTTCTGATCAATTTGATGTCATTTTAATGGACCAAAAAATGGCTTTTCTTTCGAAAACAAGGACATTTCTAAGTGACCCCAAACTTTTGAATGGTAGTTTTATATATATAAAAATAAATAAATAAATAAATAAATAAATAAATAACATTTGTCCGCTTGAGGCCCCCCCATGTTCCGCTCTAGGCCCCCAAACCCCCCCTCTCCTCCCCTCCCCTCCAGCAGCAAAATCTGCAGGAAGCTTCAAAGTTGCAAAGGAAATGGGGGGGGGGGGGTTAATGAGGCCACATTGTTGACAAAAAAGGCCTCCAAAAAAGTTAATGAATCCATATACAGCCAAATAATAATTGATAATAAATCAATAATTTCCATACATATATTTAATATCAATATAATCCACGTTTTTCTCATAATAGTAGAAACAAGTGTCATTAATCACCCATGTACTGGTTCATAATAATGGACTATTCCACCCTGACAGAGTTCCCGTGCATTGTTTCACACAATATGATTGCAAACGTGACTTTAATTCAAATTAACCTGCAGCAATGAGGCGCTTTCAGAGAAAATATTTTAATTTTAACAGAATAATTACATTTCTTTAGTAAAAAGAGAGGTGATAATACTGACGTTGAGGCCCATGGCATGTCATACTATTTTTGGCCAGACAGCATCAAATACATGGGCTATATATAGCAAGACAGAGGGGCGCTGTTTCGCCCGCTCGGATGCTTTCTCTGGTGAGACTCAAAATTGAGCTCAGGTGCATCTTGTTTCCATTGATCGTCCTTGAGATGTGTCTATAACTTTATTGGCGTCCACCTGTGGTAAATTCAATTGATTGGACATGATTTGGAAAGGCACACGCCTGTCTATATAAGGACCCACAGTTGACAGTGCATGTCAGACGCAGGAGTGGCTTTGGACTTGAACCCGATTGAACATCTCTGGCAAAATTGAGCTCAGGTGCATCTTGTTTCCATTGATCGTCCTTGAGATGTGTCTATAACTTTATTGGCGTCCACCTGTGGTAAATTCAATTGATTGGACATGATTTGGAAAGGCACACACCTGTCTATGTAAGGACCCACAGTTGACAGTGCATGTCAGACGCAGGAGTGGCTTTGGACTTGAACCCGATTGAACATCTCTGGAGAGACCTGAAAATAGCTTGCAGCGATGATTCCCCATCCAACCTGACAGAGCTTGAGAGGATTGGCAGAGAAGAATGGGAGAAACTCCCCAAATATAGGTGTGCCAAGCTTGTAGCATCATACCCAAGAAGACTCAAGGCTGTAATCGCTGCCAAGGGTGCTTCAATAAAGTACTGAGTAAAGGGTCTGAATACTTATGTAAATATAATTTCTGTTTTTTTATTTGTAATACATTTTTCAAAAATGTCTAAACTTGTTTTTGCTTTGTCATTATGGGGTATTGTGTGTAGATTGAGGGGGGAAAAAAACTATTTAATCCATTTTAGAAAAAGGCTGTTACGTAACAAAATTTTGAAAAAGTCAAGGGGTCTGAATACTATCTGAATGAACTGTACACGTTCTATGATTGAGCAGCTTTGAAAGCAAAAGCTGAATGCACTGTATATTACGTCTTTACTATAAAACCTTTTTTTTTATTCACCTGTAAACTGCCAACGGGAAATTAAAAACATAGTAATGACACATTGGGATTTCAATAAACATCTGGCTGTCTTTGAGTGGGTGAATAAAAGGTTGAAATCTCGTTGATCAACGTCAACTGCTCGGCATCCAACCGTAAGACGCTACAGAGGGTAGTGCGTACGGCCCAGTACATCACTGGGGGGCCAAGCTTCCTGCCATCCAGGACCTCTATACCAGGCGGTGTCACAGGAAGGACCAAAAAAATAGTCAAAGACTCCAGTCACCCTAGTCATAGACTGTTCTCTCTGCTACCGCACGGCAAGCGATACCGGAGCGCCAAGTCTAGGTCCAAAAGGCTCCTTAACAGCTTCTACCCCCAAGCTATAAGACTGCTGAACAATTAAACAATTAATCAAAAATGGCCACCCGGACTATTTACATTGATAAACTGGCATCTGGAGGGCTGTTGGTGTCATATCCTAGACACAGTCTCCTACCGCTGTGCCCTTGGGCAAGACACTTAAGCCCAACAATTGCTCCAGGGACGTGGTACTGCGGCGGACCCTGGGCTCCCGATAGACGTGTGTGTTGTCTGGGCGGTGGGTCGTGAGATAAGAGCAGAGCTTTCTGTTGCAACAAATTGACAAATAGAGTTGTATTGTTCACGCTATGACCGTCATCACAGATCACAACCCAGCGTTGTTACTGATGTCAGAACAACTCAAATGCTCAGTGCTTTAGGTCTCGGTTTTATTCTGACCATACATCACTCATTACAGGCGAGTATGAACTTTATACTCATTGCATTTTACATTTTAAGTCATTTAGCAGACGCTCTTATCCAGAGCCACTTACAGTTAGTGAGTGCATACATTTTCATACTCATCACCTGACACAAAACTCCAGTATAATTCCGATTTACATCAGTTGTGAGCTCAAAGAATCAGTGAAAAACTTACTTTTTTTTTTTATTGCTACGCTGTCGCTACTGACAATAACACTCATATTCTAGGTGGGGTAGTGAGCATATCTAGTATTTATGGGACGTGATTCAAAAAGAGTCAAATGAGCTCAAGTTACCCAGTGTGTGTCAGTGCAGTGCAATAAGCAATGGTGTGCATTGAGAAATATTCAGTATATAGACACTGATGGAAGACGACTAAGACTGCTCTGACATGCAGATACAAGGTATTTGTGGCAGTCTGGAGGGCACCTGGGTGACCATTGGCAGTGATTGACCAGAGAGAATAGGCCCCCCACTGTTTCAGTTGTAATTCTTCCATCAGAGGTTTTGCTCACTAGGGTGTGCTGGAGTTCCAGAACGATGATGAGACCCTTAGCTCATGTCATTCTGTGATCAGTATAGTGCATGAACTCATCCCCTTGAGTTATATCCTGCCCTGCTGGTTTGAAATTCTCCCTGTCACCTACTTGATCAATTCATGTTACTGATTGTCCACACCTCAGGTCTTCTCACGCTACTGAACCGAGCCAAACCAAGTTGTACTCAGCTGGCCTGAGTACCGGAGCCAGCAGTTTGGTTCCAGCAGGTACGACAGTGTGAAAAGGGCACTGGTTTCCCCCACGGGTAGAAAATGAGCAGGTGTTGAGCCCTGCTGGAAGGATGGAAGCAGTTTGGACCATAAGTTCTGACAGATGTACTCAGGAGGTGGACTAGGCATAGCTCATGGATTTTTTTCTCTCCAAAACATCATCAATTCGAGTGTGTATTATAATAAATAGTATCATAGCGGATATGGTGTTTTTATAATATGATATGCCAAATTGCCAATTAGAAGATGCTTTTATCCAAAGCTCCTTACAGTAGGCACGCATACATTTTCATATGGGTGGTTCCAGTGGGATTCGAACCCACAACCCTGATGATGCAATCAACATGCTCTACCAACTGTTGGAGCCACACAGGACCATCTATAATACGTAAATGTGGTTTTTACCTGCAGTATGCCATGTATGGTTAACATTGTATAAACACATTTTACATTATTGTTCAAGTTGTAGACTACAGTTCAAAAGCAGGTATGTGTACGGCTACCGTTGGCGTCGGTAATTATGTTTCATCGTAAGCTACAGGAGTTCAAAATAATAAAAATAAAAGTGTCTGTGCCAAAAGTGACTGGTCTATACTGCCCTACTTAGCAAAAGAGCAGTAACTGCACATTTGGTCAAAAATGAGTTTACATTTTTTTTTTTTATACATTAAATACATGCTTTATCATGTGGACAAATATCCTGCCTCCATTGTGTTGTATTATGGAGAATATGGTTGGGGGGGGGTCATGTTTGCAGTAAGTGCAAAAAAGTTCAAGTGAAAACAAGGAAAAAGGCAGGAAGTGACATCACTCGTGTTAGTTACTGCTTTTCACCTTGGTTTCACCTTGGCTTTGGGCTGCAGCGGTAAACCTTGGTCTTATTTATTGTTCATCGCTTATACAAGTATCAAACTATGACACTGACAGCCACATACAAATAAATAATATATTAACACGTTTGTGTTTTTTTTTAATTTTTTAAAGGAAACGTATTCCAGTGGGCGAGAAGGTAGTAACTGCCGTCTAGGGTCAAAGGTCATGTCAGCGGTCAGGGTCAAAAATGAATAAAAAAAACAAACTCATTGTAAGACAACAGATTACCACATATCCAATGACCTGCCTACAATTCATTTGGCCGGACAATAAAATAAAAAATAAAAAGTTATTTTTCTTAGTTTCACTCTCTGAGCAGTCACTACTCTTTTGCTTGGTAAGGCAGTATAGCAGTTTTACAATCCTGGTTTGGGGACGCTCAGGTGTGGACATGTTTGTCCCAGACCAGCCCTAACACACCTGCATCAACTAATCAAGGGCTTAATGAATCAGGTGCGCTAGTGCTGGGTTTAGTTGAATCAAGTGGGGTCATGGGTCATTCCCACGGGGGGCCAGTATGCTAAATGACTAAAATGTAAAGCTGAACTGGAACAGAAATATGCAGTCCACAGGACCAGGTTGAAAAACACAGGGGTCATATTCAGAAGTTGTGATAAAACTTTTTTCTACGCAAACAATATCTGAAAAGGTAACATCCCTCAAATCAGCTCCTCTTGGAGAAAAGGAAACCATTTGATCATAAACTCACTCAAATGTGCATATTTCTATTAATTAAGAATTATTCATTAACAAATGCGATTCATACATTCAATCAAAAAAGGCATAATCATCTCATTACTCACGGTACTTGTTCCGAGTTCTCTTCAGTTTTCTATAAAATTGTCTACACATCTAATGTAACCATTAACATGTATTGACCATTAGTTGAAGGGAAATTGTAGCTTAAAATATTAGTGGCTTGTTTTACACTACCAATAACCTACCTTCCGTTTCATTGCATCCACATAACTTATTTCCTTTAATTTAATTGGGGCAATTAATTTTTATAAAACAACCTGGGATGTCAGATATGAAAGCTTAGAGGGACTGCACGAGCCGTCAGTTCATTGACAGTATTCAGCAGTTCAAAGCCTAACAAATACAGCTTAAAAAAGGGGCAATATGTGTTTCAAACAGTACCAAAGCCGCCACCCAGCCACCTTTTTGTGTAAACAGCTTAGGGATGGGGCTGGAGAAATGTAACCACTCTCAAATTCATATGAAGGGGCTATGGATGAAAGGACTGACCATCCGTGAGATCAAAATGATTGTTTTAGTCATGTTTTGAAGGAATAGTGTTGGTTTACAATTACATTGTTTACAAACAACGGGAGTAAAAACAAGCTCACTGTATATTTTGGGTTCTGATTGGTAGACAGTTTAACTAAGCTCATGAGGCATTTCTAAGTTATATTCTTCAAGAATCAATGGGTATCACAGATTGCCACTTTAATTTCCCTTCTTTATTAAAGACAACTGATTAACAGGGCTGGGTAGAGTACCCCAACTCTGTACTCAAGAGAAGGTACCACTAGTCAAATAACTTACTTCAGTAGGAGTAGAAGTAGACATAAAATGTATCAGTAAAGAAGTATTCACAGAAAACATTGGGTAGACTAAATGGCCTACTTTTCTCTGTCGTCACATGGCATGTGTAATTTACATCCCATTTGCTACCAATGATGTATATAAATCTTGGATTGCTGATGCTAGGACGAATTCGGGAAAGAGTGGGACATCATATAAAACTGGGACAGCTTAATCCTGACGCGTTTATTTCTTGGTCTGAAAACAGCCAAAAATCAAAACTATTGTTACTCAGCCCTTGCAGAGAAACCACATAATCAAAACTAAACCACTTCATTGGTGTGACATCATAGAGGGGCCAGAGGAAGCTTCAAACAGGAAGCTCAACCGGCAAATCACATTACGATCAGGTGACACGGCTTTTCTTTCTGTTTTGATGTTAAGGTTCTAAAACGGTCAAATAATGCACTGTGCCAACTTGTGATGTAAATGTGCATGAAAATACTTTTTTTTTTATTTTATTTTTTTAAGTTGCCAATATTATGTTTCAATTTTGTAATCGTCTTTTTTTGTTCCCGCTTTACCAACCATAGCTAGCTAAAGTGGGACACTCATAGGCTTTTCCAATAGAGGAAAGAGATCCAGTTTACATTAGGGACTCCTGTACTTAGGTTAGGCAGGGCTCTGGTTTCTTGTCCTGCCAATGTTTCATTGTAATACTGCTATTAGTAGTTATTAGAGTGAATTCAGAATAAAGTGTTGACAGTTGGCATTTCCATCTCCTGTGACCTCTTCAGACATCACATATTATCCTCAGATGTTTCCTAATCACACAAAATTGAAAATTGTCATTTGGGTACAAATAGGACTGTAATAATGCTGTCCCAGTCTACTAAATATGGTTTTGACCCAGTGTACACAAATGGATGTGTAATGCCGCCTGTGAATATGATAAAACATATTTTTTTTGTGATTAGGGAACGTCTTGAGGATTTTAGAAATGTATTATGTTGACCTAATATGTTGGGTAGAGGTCGAAAGAGGTTACAGAAGACGGAAATGCAAAAAGTGTCCCACTTATTCCAAATGTATTGGCCGGTGAGAAGCTTTGAAGTCACCGGTCGGTCATATTGGCATTCCCCAGTAGGAGCAGTCCTCCATAGGAATGAATGGAATTATACACTATTTCAATTAAAATGTTTCAAGGACAAAAGTATATAGCAACAAAAGTAACATTAGTACTTTCTAAAAAAATGATACTTTAAAATAAAATATTTTTAGATATTTTCTATCATTTTTATTTAGCTCACATAATTTAAAAGTATGCATTACGGTGTCTGTAATAGAATAAACGTGGCAAAAACAAAATGTAGACATGAATAAATGCATTTCTATAAAACATTTTATAAATGGTGAAGGGGGGGGGGGGTGGCTAGTGGCACAGTGGCTTCAAAACAGCGCCCCCTGTCAGTCGTCCAGTGTACACCATGTTGCAACCAAATGGTGTATATAAACCCTGTATTGCTGATGCTACGTATCGGCCATCGAGAGCTTTGAAGCCACCGGTCGGCCATATTATCATCCAAAAAAAGTGCAATGCAACTAATACAGACAGAAAAGGCTGAATTATAAAACGCTTGTAACCATGAACAAGTGTAGCAGGCTCAGACTAGAAGAACAATCACATTCTCTCTACTGCTGTTTATGAGTGAACAATGTAGAATGCAAAAAGAATCTAGTAAGACTCCGTCCAAAAAAAAATCAAATAGGATCTCACCTTCGTCAGTGAAAGATGTACAAGCTATAAGCAGTAAAATGTTTAGGTGCTCACTATAGTATTTATATGTATTTGCATACCCGTACACCTGTGATCAGATGAAACTGAATGAACTCATTCCTGCATAAACCACACAGCCGTCATAGCCCACTGCAGGGAGGTATCGGGTAGAAGAGGGAGGGTTCTATTCTTACCCAGGTCTCAGATTCCCCGGCAGAAGATCCTGTGGTGGAGCTCCGCCGTGGGGCCCACAGGCGGTCCGCCTCCTTCGTTCCTGCTAGACCCACAACACTAATGCCAGCGCCCTCGCTTCATTTACATTTACATTTACGTCATTTAGCAGACGCTCTTATCCAGAGCGACTTACATTATTATTATTTTTTTCATACCCCCTGTGGGAATCGAACCCACAACCCTGGCGTTGCAAACGCCATGCTCTATCAACTGAGCTACATCCCTGCCGGCCATTCCCTCCCCTACCCTGGACGACGCTGGGCCAATTGCGCGCCGCCCCATGGGTCTCCCGGTCACGGCCGGCTACGACAGAGCCTGGATTCGAACCAGGATCTCTAGTGGCACAGCTAGCACTGCGATGCAGTGCCTTAGACCACTGCGCCACTCAGGAGCTTCCTCCCCCCCCCCCCACAGTGGCCAACAGTCTTTTTCTTAACCCCCCCCCCCCCCCTACAGTGGCCAACAGTCTTTTCTTAACCCCCCCCACAGTGGCCAACAGTCTTTTCTTAACCCCCCCCCCCCTACAGTGGCCAACAGTCTTTTCTTAACCCCCCCCACAGTGGCCAACAGTCTTTTCTTAACCCCCCCACAGTGGCCAACAGTCTTTTCTTAACCCCCCCCACAGTGGCCAACAGTCTTTTCTTAACCCCCCCCACAGTGGCCAACAGTCTTTTCTTAACCCCCCCCCCCCCCACAGTGGCCAAGAGTCTTTTCTTAACCCCCCCACATTTGAGAACATTATTGTCTGTTTCCTTACTGTTGAATATGTTTTAATGAATAAATATGTTTAGGAATCTTTCACTGCAACTATGGAAAGTACATACCCTGATCAATATCGTTTGATATGGCCTGAAAAACACACGGCTAGGTGTCAGACAGTGATCAACGGTCATTTCATACATTGTGATCAGCTGTGAGTCCTGGACATTGAGTAACCTAATCAATATAGACATTGGAAAAACATTGTTTGAGCTCACCTCATGACTATGGCCCACAGAGAGCGCCTCATGAAAGAACTACAGAGATAAGCTCTGGAATATTGTAAAGTAGTAAAGATATCATCTGATATCGCAGGATCAACATAATGCACACTAACGGTTCTGCTCTGACGCCAATTTCAGTTCCTTTGTTGCAACTTCAATTGTGATTAGATTCATCAGAGCAACTGTGGCTCGTTCAGTTGTTCCTGGGACTTGACCCCAAATATCACGACAGCAATCCGGTAAATTCCAAACGGGAGCGTCACCTTTACCTGTCAGCCATTGGAGAGGTTCCTCAGTACAGTCCCAGCGAGGGACGGACCTCCGATGTCCACGTCCAGAAACACTCACCTTAGTGAGGCCTCATGAGACTGACGATCCTGACAATGTGTCAGTTGGAGTCACGGATTTTGGGACTACAAAAAAAAAAAAAAGGCCACTGCAGGTGTCTTTGTGAAAGATGTTGAGAGTTAAAAAGTATCTTCCAGGTTCACCTCATTTCACCTACCTGGGTGATAACCTCAAGTTGTTTGGTTGACTAAAACAAGCTGCCAGATAAGACCAGTTGTGGAACGTGGTAGACAGTTTCAGGGTGGAGTGGTTTTCAGGGTTAGACGGTATGGCCCTGATACTGAACGAGGAGATATTAAGTATTTGAAACGTATAATGAGGTAGTGAACAGCAAACCTTGGTTGAGCAACATTATGCGGCATACACATCTAGCAAATAAATGTTTTTTTTTTGTTATAGATTTTAATAAAGGATGTTTAGGCAAGTTTGACAACTTATTTTTACCTATATATATATATATATATATATATATATATATGCTGTTAATAAAATATTGCAGTAAATTCCTACCTTTTCCTGGAAAATGAGATACAGCAAAGAGGACATTTAGAGGATTTGATCATCTTCTCTTCCTTCTAATGAGCATGTGTTCATCTCTTCTATAAAGTCCCAATGATTCTGAAGCAGGGACTAAAATTAGCACCCGCAGGTAGGATTTGGCATTGGCGGGTAAAGGCATCAGCATGCTTCAGTTCGACTGGTGTCTAGTATACACTTCCTCAAAATAGTCAGAATTAATCAAAGATCATTTAAGAAATCTGTCATTAATTTCTAGCATTTCATACAAATAGTCCAAAGTCAAGTGTGGGCACGTGCAAGTAGTGATTCACGCAAAAAATAAATGCAGCAGTAGCTGTATTCAAAATATTTCTGCCATTTTGTTTCATATCTGGTAAAGCACAAAGAAATGTGAATCCTAACGTTATAGCTATCCCACCTCGTGCAGCAACACTGCCTGCTGGGGGGTCTGAGTGCACTGTGAGTGAAGTGCTGAAATATTTGTTTTTAGGAAGTAATGCGTAGAGGAATACAAGTTGGCCTGACTGCTAAACGTGAGACTATTCTAATGTTCCTTGGATATTTACATTGTTTTGTTCACAACTGTTTAAAATGTTTCGAGTTTGCTTCCACTGCTAGCGAAGACAAGTCGTCGTCCTCCATCAGTGAGATTATCACAGGCACACAAGCGGTGGAGTCGACTCCAAAAGATTATAGAGTCCGACTCCTTGCCCGTCGACTGCCAGTGTCGACTCACATTCCTGGGTGTCAAGCGTCGATTCCGCCAGGAACCGTGCATCGGTAATCAAAAGATGTAGGTAGGCTGTAGGCTAATCGCAATGCTGTATTTCGCAATTTCTTGGCTTGCGATGTCTCGCACAAATTCACTAAAAGTATGGGCTATCAATGAGTAAGCTGAGCTATTCTACACACAACAGACCGAAAACTGAAAACACACACTAGCGTTTTTCATAGCTAAGAGAAAGAGCAGGAGAGAGAGGATCTGGGCAGACAGACAGAACAGGAGAGAGAGGATCTGGGCAGGCAGACAGTCAGAACAGGAGAGAGAGGATCTGGGCAGACAGACAGACAGTCAGAACAGGAGAGAGAGGATCTGGGCAGACAGACAGAACAGGAGAGAGAGGATCTGGGCAGACAGACAGTCAGAACAGGAGAGAGAGGATCTGGGCTGACAGACAGAACAGGAGAGAGAGGATCTGGGCAGACAGACAGTCAGAGCAGGAGAGAGAGGATCTGGGCAGACAGACAGAACAGGAGAGAGAGGATCTGGGCAGACAGACAGTCAGAGCAGGAGAGAGAGGATCTGGGCAGACAGACAGACAGTCAGAACAGGAGAGAGAGGATCTGGGCAGACAGACAGTCAGAACAGGAGAGAGAGGATCTGGGCAGACAGACAGTCAGAACAGGAGAGAGAGGATCTGGGCAGACAGACAGACAGTCAGACAGTCAGAACAGTGCGGATCGGCTATATCTTGGTCATCGGTATCTCACAATATCTTGTCAAGCAATGCCTCGTAAATTCACCCAAAGTATATATTAGGCCATCAATGAGTATGGCTAAGCTATTTTTCATAGTGCCAGTGAATTGATGTTGAACATCACCAAACGCATCAGTTTAATTTTAAAAAAGTATTGCGCTTATAGCTTATTTAATGAAACCCTGGCTGGCTGCTAAGGTCAGGACTCCCAAACCCTGTTCCTGGAGAGCTACCCTCCTGTAGGTTTTCGCTCCAACCCCAGTTGTAACTAACCTGATTCAGCTGATCAACCAGCTAATTATTAGAATGAGATGCGCTAGATTAGGGTGAACACCTATAGGACGGTAGCCCTCCAACGAACAGGGTTAGAGAGCCCTGTGCTAGGCAATAGATCGCAAAGCCAGGCATCCTCGCTAAAGTTTTTGGGAAATCTCAAGTGCAAATACGGTTCAGCAGCTCAAAATCAGCAGGATGGGGGGGGGGGGGGGGCAATGTTATTAGGAAGGACGTCTACCATAATAATAATAATAATGCCATTTAGCAGACGCTTTTATCCAAAGCGACTTACAGTCATGTGCGCATGAGTGTATGGGTGGTCCCGGGGATCGAACCCACTACCCTGGCGTTACAAGCGCCGTGCTCTACCAGCTGAGCTACAGAGGACCACAATTGTATATACTAGGACCACCATGGATTGCTAAAATAATGATTATGATCACACTTCCATCAATTTAAATATTATGGGGATATCTGGCAGCCAAGCAGTGTAGCCTCTTATCATCTGGACATGACGTAGAAATATCTCCAGCCTACAATAAAAACCTCCTGGCTTCCGTCATGAGTCAATTAAATCAAATAAAAAAATAAAAATAATTACAGGGGGGCAGTTTGGGAAAACTAATCCTGTGTGAATCATTCTCTGGAATAACGCACATGCTTGGATAATAATTACATAATCAACGTCTATAGTAATACCCGTCCAATTGGGCTATATAACAAAGAATAGGCTTATCAGTTTAGAGCGTGTAGCATCATCCCATGGGATCTGTCATGTCTGCACACAGCAGAAACATCACTGAAATATTCTAGGCCTTTTATAGGCTAAGTTGAAGAGCTAATGGGCAGCATCATGCATCATGCCAGTCCTCTGGAAAGCCAATGTATTCTTCCCAGTAGGACGCTGTAATAGTGAGGTGCCGTTTCAGCGTGTTTTCGGAGTCGAGCAAGAGTCAACTCCTTGGACTCCAACCACAGGTGTTGGGGAGTCGATTCCAACTCCTTGGACTCCAACCACAGGTGTTGGGGAGTCGAGCAAGAGTCAACTCCTTGGACTCCAACCACAGGTGTTGGGGAGTCGAGCAAGAGTCAACTCCTTGGACTCCAACCACAGGTGTTGGGGGAGTCGAGCAAGAGTCAACTCCTTGGACTCCAACCACAGGTGTTGGGGAGTCGATTCCAAAAATCCTGCAGTCGCGCACCACTAAGGCACATGTGAAGACTTGAGCGACCCGTTACCAAGGTAACCTTAAAGGGGCAGCTGAACATTTGTCTCATCTGTGATATTTTGGTTTAAAGACTCAGGCCACAAAATATTAAAATGTCATTGAGCAATATAACACATTCATTCTTAATAGTAATACATTCCTTGTTTTAGAAACATTACTATGAATACTCATCCATTTTGTTTAGTGTTTTTTTGTGTGTGTAATTAATGCAGTAAAAATATTTTGTCTGGTAAAAAGACAAAAAAAGTTGCTGGTAGACAAATAAAGTTTGTTTTAGGCCCTGTTCTGAAGACATTCATAAGCCTGTGTTGCATTTGATTGCTCCACAATTTTCTGGATTATGTGTTCATGTATGTTCACGTGTAAGAACTAGGAACAGAGTTTCAAGCACAATTGTATATACCAGTACAACCCGGATCGGCCTTATATTGAGAAGCATAAGTCTCTGGTACAACCTGGTAAAATGTGGTAAAATAAATAATGACGTGCAGCAGTCCATCTGCTAATGTCTTTTGAATAATAAATGAAATGTGAAGTCATTAAGAAATGTGCAACTGGTGGATCAACTCAAACATCTTTCACTCGAGTTCTGGGTTGAGTCAAATGTTAAAGTTATTTCAATTATCTTCATGATAGCATAGATCATTCTGGCTCAGTCGTGATAGTAAGAACATTAAAAACTTTGTGGACATCTGCAGCAACATGTGGACTTCTCAGCGTAACCATTCATCATAGACATGAGGTGAGGGCACTCCGTCCTCCGTGTCTCAGAATGACATTCTGTTCAAACCAACGTCAGTCAAGGGTTTTTCCCCAAATTAGAATATAAGGCTTAGGGACGTTGAACAGGCATAGGTAAAGGCTTAGGGACGTTGAACAGGCATAGGTAAAGGCTTAGGGCGTTGAAGCAAGTAAGGTAAAGGCTTAGGGACGTTGAACATGGCTAGTAAGCTTAGTAACGGAACAAGCTTAGGGACGTTTGAACAGGCATAGGTAAGGTAGGGACGTTGAACAGGCATGGTAAAGGGGACGTTGAACAGGCATAGGTAAAGGCTTAGGGACGTTGAACAGGCATAGGTAAAGGCTTAGGGACGTTGAACAGGCATAGGTAAAGGCTTAGGGACGTTGAACAGGCATAGGTAAAGGCTTAGGGACGTTGAACAGGCATAGGTAAAGGCTTAGGGACGTTGAACAGCAGCTGATATTGAAGCAAATGCAGGTAGACGGTGAAAACGAGATAGACAGCCACCATGTGGTACCAACAAAACGGAAGGAAACTCCATATTCAAAACTCATATCAAGAAGGTTTTATTTGAATGCAAAACTGTTTTCATCTGTATCAATGACCAATGTGGACCCTGCCTAATATCTTACTAATCAGGGAATATTAGGACGGTACCTTTCTGATGAGACAAGTGAAAAGACAAGTACTGATGAAGGAAGTTGCCTTCCATTTATTGGTGAGTAATTGTGAAACTCAGTAAAGGCGTCATGTAGGCAGAAACTGGATCCTTGCATTCAGACTGGTTTACTTACTACAGGAGGGAAAACTATACAACATCCTCACAATGTGGACCTTTGTTTTTATATTAGGTGATGTACTGAGGTGAGTGAATACCTTTGAAATACTAGTCACCCATGATGCTACTAAATCGTTTTTTTATTGGTCCACTTTATCAAAGATACTTTGTTTCATTTGTGTTGAGGAAAAGTGCATGCATATGTATACCAATACTTATAAAAGCTGCAATTTTAATAACATCTAAAAAAAAATATATATATATATATATATATATATAAACTGACAACCAAGGCACAAAACCTGAGGTATTATGGTGAGACAGAACACACAGACTGGTGTGTTTCATTGGGACCCTGTGGTCTGTTTCATTGGGACCCTGTGGTCTGTTTCATTGGGACCCTGTGGTCTGTTTCATTGGGACCCTGTGGTCTGTGCTGTGTTTCATTGGGACCCTGTGGTCTGTTTCATTGGGACCCTGTGGTCTGTGCTGTGTTTCATTGGGACCCTGTGGTCTGTGGTCTGTTTCATTGGGACCCTGTGGTGTGTGGTCTGTTTCATTGGGACCCTGTGGTGTGTGCTGTGTTTCATTGGGACCCTGTGGTGTGTGGTCTGTTTCATTGGGACCCTGTGGTGTGTGGTCTGTTTCATTGGGACCCTGTGGTCTGTGGTCTGTTTCATTGGGACCCTGTGGTGTGTGGTCTGTTTCATTGGGACCCTGTGGTCTGTGGTCTGTTTCATTGGGACCCTGTGGTCTGTGCTGTGTTTCATTGGGACCCTGTGGTCTGTTTCATTGGGACCCTGTGGTCTGTGGTCTGTTTCATTGGGACCCTGTGGTCTGTTCCATTGGGACCCTGTGGTCTGTTTCATTGGGACCCTGTGGTCTGTTTCATTGGGACCCTGTGGTGGGTGTTACCTGTACGTGGGCGGTGGCAGCTCCCTCGGTCTCCATGCCGTCCACTCCTCCTCCGTTGTTCAGTCCTCCTGGTTTAGTCAGCTCCTTCACATTTTCTCCCCATTCTGAAGAACAGACCAATCACATCAGGGACAATAAACACTTAGACAGGATACACCATCAATGTACAGATAGATATATCCTAGCTCCGTGTCCAATACCTCTGACTAATTTAGACAGGAATTTTCCCAGACCACTTGAACTGTAGTTCTAGTTAACGGACAGGTTATTACTCCCTGATCATACCACATCTAGGACAGAGGGTGAATCTCAATTGTCTTCCTTGATTCCTCGCACCCGCTTTCCTCACCACCTCCTCCTCCTCAGAGTGCATTGGAGGAGAAGGTCTGAGGGGAGGAACCAAAAATGTTTTTCTCCAATGCACTTTGAGGAGGCGAGAAGAGAGGAAGTGAGGAATCAAGGAAGGCAATTGAGATTCACCCAAAGCAGACTGTTGTAAGAAGACAGAAGATGGCAGTCAGATGTTTACCTGGACAGAGTGTGTCTGCGTCCAGCATGCCTCCCTCTCTGTAGCCCTCCAGGTCCTCCATCTTCACTTTGCTCCAGGGGATGTAGGTGACGCCTCGCTCCACGTCCCAGAACTTCTTATGGGTCGCCTTTATACCCTTGTTCAAGGCCCACGCAATCTACACACAAATGCAATATGCTTAGGTTATTAAGTAAAATAAAGTGTTTTAATTAACTTTTTATGTGTTGCCTTTAGTGTTGAACGGTATACCGAAACGTTGATACTTTTTCGATACTAGAACATGAAAAACTGTTCGGTACTAGAAGTTTTGTTACTTTCGGTAATTCTGTCAAATTTGTCTCACGTCGTATACGGATTGAGAGGATCGAGTCTGTCTACTAACTTGTCTGAATCTTCTCTAGGGGGCAGTAGTGAGCTAGACAGGCTACTTGTCTTCTCTAGGGGGCAGTAGTGAGCTAGACAGGCTACTTGTCTCCTCTAGGGGGCAGTAGTGAGCTAGACAGGCTACTTGTCTCTCTAGGGGGCAGTAGTGAGCTAGACAGGCTACTTGTCTCCTCTAGGGGGCAGTAGTGAGCTAGACAGGCTACTTGTCTTCTCTAGGGGGCAGTAGTGAGCTAGACAGGCTACTTACGCTTGTGCATGCAGATGACACAGCGAGAGCCACTTTTGAGACGCAAACATGGAGAGAAAATGCAGACAGCATGGCTTCTAACGAAAACATCAACCTCCACGCCCGCAGCTTGTTGACACAAAAAATGGCTCCAGAAGTGAACTATGGGAATACTTTCCTGACAGAGCAGGGGCCGGGCCAGCCCACCGAAACAACTAAGCAAAAGGTGTTACAAAGCAGTGCAAGGGGAATTTAGTTCCAAAATGACAAAACTATTTTACACATGACATTTGCATTGTAACGTTATTCTACTAGCAACTAAATTTGAATTATTTTTGAGTGACAGTGACATGAACATAGGTTCAGCATGACATTCATGTGAGCAGTATAATAAAGACTACAACTGAAAAGTAAATGTGAACTGCACTATGACAGCAATATATTTAGACTACTTCCAGTTTGTCTGGGCTTGCTAGCTGTAGCCAGCCAGTAGTCCTGGGTAGAGCGTTGCACCATGGGATGTGAAATGCACTCTGGGAATCATAGCATGCTGTGTAAAATACATTGTATTTCTACGGTGTGTAGACTATTGCAATATAGAACCTTCGTAAATGAGCTTAAGTGTTTTTTTTGCCGTTTTTGAACTAAACTATTCATTTAATACATGGAATTATTTAGTTGTCATGAATAATGAATCATATGTCCAATGAATGTCATTTGACCCAATATTATTGCCACAGATGAGCAAATTAACAGCGATATGTATAAAATTACATTTAAAAAATGTTTTGAAGTCATTGTAAAATTCTTTGGTATGCTCCCAGTCTCAGATATGGTTTTGCGTAAGCAAAATGTAAGATATTCTGTTATTTAATATAGTGTTTTATTTTTTTAATAAATTGAATATACATTAACAAAAATGTGACAATTTCAAAGATTTTACTGAGTTACAGTTCATATAAGGAAATCAGCCAATTTAAATAAATGCATTAGGCCCTAATATATGGATTTCACATGACTTGGATTACAGATATCCATCTGTTGGTCACAGATACCTTTAACAAAAAGTAGGGTCGTGGATCAGAAAACCAGTCAGTATCTGGTGTGACCACCATTTGCCTCAAGCAGCACAACATCTTCTCGATCAGGCTGTTGATTGTGGCCTGTGGAATGTTGTCCCACTCCTCTTCAATTTCTGTGTGAAGTTGCTGGATATTGGCAGGAACTGGAACACCCTGTCGTACACGTCGATCCAGAGCATCCCAAACATGCTCAATGGGTGACAAGTCTGGTGAGTATGCAGGCCATGGAAGAACTGGTATATTTTCAGCTACCAGGAATTGTGTACAGATTCTTGCGACATGGGGCTGTGCATTATCGTACTGAAACATGAGGTGATGGCGGTGGATGAATGGCAATACAATAGGCCTCAGGATCTCGTCACGGTATCTCTGTGCATTCAAATTGCCATCGATAAAATGCATGTGTTCCTTGTCTGTAGCTTAGTTCACTGAAGTCGGTTACGACGCCGAACTGCAGTCAGGTCAAGACCCTGGGGAGGACGACGAGCACGCAGATGAGCTTCCTTGAGACGTTTCTGACAGTTTGTGCAGAAATTCTTCGGGGATCTTTTATTTCAGCTCAAGAAACATGGGACCAACACTTCATATGTTGCGTTTACATTTTTTTTAACAATTTATCTTCTTAAAATGTGATTTTAACCCATTAGAGTCTAAGTCTATATTAGTGTGTAGCCCAAACTGTTCGGACGCCACAACACAGAAGTTGGCAGATCAACTGTACAGACTTCAGACACGTCCCAAGACGCTTGTGGGGGGGGGGGGGTCGTAGAGCAAAACGAGAGAGTCTCATCATTTTCTCACGGTCTGACAAACACCGCTCTCGTGACATGGCGGATGTGATGGCTTGAGACTCATCCAATGCAAAAAAACATCTCTAGCTTAAACTGACGGGTTCGTATGTTTTTATTATTATTATTATGCTAATTAGATTTCTGCAGGAAGTGGACATTGACCTTAGGGGGTTAAACCTAACCACACTACTAACAGTATGCCTAACCTAAATTAAGACCAAATAGCTAATGTTTGTTTTCATGAAAAATGTATGCACTCACCAAGTCGCTCTGGATAAGAGCGTCTGCTAAATGACAAAAAAAAAAAATATATATATATATTTAATATGAATTTCTACGATACAGCCAATTTGACTCTGTGGCTGTGCTATCTAGTGGAAACCCTACCTCACCTTACTGTTTCCCCCCACTCAGCAACGATGGTAGTAAACACCATTTTAGGGTTTCTGCTGCGTGCCTCTCCTCCATCTTCTGTCGTCGGTAGTACATGGGACTTCCTGTCCTGTCCCACTTCTCATTAATGTGACGGGTCGTTGCGGTGTCGTATGACAGCGTGTTCATTGACATCCAACAACCTGTTGCGCCACGTACGGTTTTTGAGAGCGTGTGCTTTGTATGCTGTAGGCAGAGCAATCTCCATCCGGGCCGTCAGTTTTTCAACATGGCATCTTGTAGTCTGGTTCTAGGCATGCCATCAGGGTATTGAAGCCGACATCCTCTACCATTAACAATGGCTGCATATCAACTGCAAACATCTTCTGTAATCAGCGCTGTGATTTTCTCACTCCGTCCCTTAAAATCGCTCTGCTGCCAGCAAAGGGTTGGGTCTCACGGTTCCTCCCTTTCAGGCTTGTACCTCTACTGCCATTGTAGCACAATTCCACCTGGCAAAGTTTTATATTTCACAACTTTCTCATTTAACTTCTCAACGTATTGCCATACAGGACTTCGCTGCTGTCGCTTCCCTGTCTCAGTCTGCCATTTCTCCAACAGTTAAAGACGATGACGTGCAGAGTGCTTGATATCCGTAGCAAATCATTTGAAAGATGCATATCTCCTCCTACTAACGTTACAGTATTGTTGTGTTAGGTATTTGTTCATTTTTATGATGATGATGATGATTGGGACCTGTTAGTGGTAGATGTGTGATACATTTTTCGGCTAGGTTTTTTCTTCTAAATGTTAACAATCCCAATGTAGTTTAAACATTACACCCTACCTAAAAAAAAAAAAAAAAAAGGCAGATTTTGTCTTCTGAGAAAATGTGAATGTGATCAAATTTGGTTTATATTCACACGTCGGGTGGCTAAGCTCCCCAGGCATTTTTAATCCAAACTGATTGACTATCATTAATCAATCCCCACAGCAGTGATGCCATACTGTATGAGGATCGTTTCATTATAAATGTAAAGGCCTGCATTGAGCCAGCTCGGCCCTGTTAGTTTTTGTCCAATCGCAGCTGTCTGTGTCTCTGTAAAAGGGTTTTAATGTTTTCATCCTCCCTAGGGTCAGGAGTTTTATTTTTGATCATGTGACCTGAAAACCGTAACAAAAAGAATCTGGTCCCATCATAGCCCGACAGCTGATTTATTACTATGTCATATGCTATAACGAGGGTCCGTAGTTGGTTAGCCTACTACAGGATCAGGAAAAACTCTGGGCCCAAGGAAAACAATTCTCCCCGACCACTCTGGGACCTGTGGTGAGATCACCACACAATGTTACAAATGGAAAAACATATCCTATTTGTACGATCTACAGTTGACATGTTTTTTGGTGGGGATGAGCTTCCGTAGTTTTACGTGGCTCAGTGCAGCCGGCAGTTACTGCAACAAATCAGAATATAACAGGCTGGTACTGCAATTACAGGTAAAAACTCAATAAAATAAAATATTAGCAAAATGGCTATACATTTCAACAGTTTCAAAAAATTGCTTTGCTATTACCATTTACAGTGCATTCAGAAAGTATTCAGACCCCTTGACTTTTTCCACTTTGTTACGTTACAGCCTTATTCTAAAATGAATTACATCGTCCGTCCGTCCCCCCCACCCCCCGTCATCAATCTACACACAATACCCTATAATGACAA